GTTCCTGTTTTCTTTTTTCTTTTCAACAATTTTTTTAAATAAATTATCATATCATTTTATTAAAACATTGTACCGGTGAAAAACTTTGAAACAACTGCTAACAATTTTTTGCTTTCTTGCTTGATCTATTTTTTTGTCTTTTGTTTTAGCAGTAAATCGAGATAAGTTGTTTTTTTTTCTGCATATTTATAAGAGGTTTTATGATTGTTTTATTTACAGCTTGATCAATGTGTCATAAACCTTGTTAATCGGTTTTTTTGTACTTCTTTTTGTTACTTTTTTTTCCAGGATGATTATCTGTACGAATAAAATATTTGACATATGTGCACAGAGTAAATGAGCTGAAGACTTGTTCTTTTTTTTTTTTTATTTTAGTAAAATATCTTATTTACAAAACCAATGTCAAAATGAAAGTTGAAATATTTGGTAAAACTGCAACCGATGAAGAGGTGCATGCGATACGTTTAGAAAATGAGAATGGTACTGCAGCTGTTGTGATCACATATGGTGGTATACTGAAAAATTTTTTTGTAAAAAATAAAAACGGTACAACGATCGATATTGTCACTGGATACGATGATTTGACAGATAAGCTTATTCTTATGGAATATGAATCTTTTTTCCCCCTAAACTTTAACAGTAGATTTGGTTATGAGCAACATTAAGCAAGCACAGTTTGATTAATAGCTTTGATTTTAGGATACATTAATGACACCGTAAGTATGGGTGCCACTGTTGGACGTGTTGCAAATCGAATTTCCAATGCTCGATTTAAACTCAACAACCAGGAATACATATTACCAGCAAATTTTGGGATTCACCATCTGCACGGCAATCACTGCCTGTCTAAGGTCCAACAAAAAACAAAACCTGCCTATTTTAATTTTTTAAAAAAATACCAGTGCTATAAAGGCAAAAAAAAAAAACACTGTAAATAAGCTAAAAAATTAAATCTTCAACAAAAACCGCAATTTTCGTTGTTTTCAATATAAGTTTGTCAAGAAAATAATGGCAGCAAAAAAAGAAAACCAGAAAGATTTCTCTTGAAGTAAAAAATGATTGTAGAGGGTATGGAAATACGAAACATTTTGCCTTCAAAATGCAGAACGTGTTAAACTGACCACCAGTAGCTTCGACGGAGAATTCGGTTATCCTGGTGACGTAGATTTTGCTGTCACTTATACGCTGAATTCCAAAGATCAATTGATTATTCAGTTTAAAGCTACAAATCAAAGTCCCGTGCAAACAATTGTCAACATGACTAATCATTCCTATTTTAACCTTGAAGTAAATATTTATTTTAATTGTTATCACTTTTTTCAAAAGAAAAAAAGAACCCGGAAATTACAGTTACAAAAGCTATTATCAGAAAATTGATGTTTAATGCTTTTTATCATCTTGATTTGATTCTCGATGTATGCTAGCATCTTCTAAAACGTATTTGTGGTTCAAATTGTTTTATTACAGGAAAGTGCCACAATTTTTGAGCATACCTTAAAAGCTGACTGTAATGCATATCTACCAGTGGATAATGTAGGACTCGTTACCGGTATGCCATCTGAAGTAACAGTAATTTTTGAATTTCTGCTGAAACAACTTGTCAGCAACAATAGCACATTTCTACGACAAATAGAGTAAATTTGCTTTTTAAAGGAGAAAAAAAAGAACTTGACGGCGTTTTCGAGGGTATACCGCAAGGAATCACTTTCAAGAATATAGTAAAAAGTGGAATTGTCGATATCGATAATGATCTCATTAAGAGGGAAAATAATGGCGCTTTGACGTAAGCGGCGTATCTATTTTTCATACATTCTTTTTGTAATATAACGGTCAAAGAAGCAATCTTCAGTTTTCTTTCTTTTTCATTTATTAACCAGTTATCAGTAAAAGTTACTGTCAAGCTTTCTGATTTACCTAATTTCACTACTGCCGGTAAAAAAAAGATCAATTACAAGTTGGGAAAATCCTTAATTTAACCGTTTCAAATCTCAAAACTTAAAATTTGTTATGAGCTAAGTAGACGTAAAAAAACCATTCAGTGAAAAAACTTTGAGAACGTGCATAACTTCAGATTAGAAAGCCCAAATTCGGGACTCAAGATGACGATTACAACTACGTATCCAATATTCCATATTTATTGCTCACAGCACTTTGAAAATATTCATGGGAAAAATGGCAAGTCGTATGGCAAATGTTGCGCCGTAGCCATCGAGCCACAAAAGTATAGTAACGCTATTAATCTGGTCAGTCACATCAGTTTAAAAAACTTAATTCATTTACCCTCACATTTAATTTATTATTTTTGTGTTTTCAAATTCAACCTTTAAAAAATTTTCAAGTGTTTTTTTATTTTCTAAAAAACTAGTTAAAATTGAATTTTACCACAAGTAGAAATAGAATTTAGAATTAGGCAATGTTTTTTTTATAACAAACGAATGAGGATTGATGATACAGTAAAAACTTCCTCCTTGTGTTTTTTAGATGGCTCAGTTGAAACTAAAAAATTAAAATAGCACTCCTTCAGTTCACTTCATTGAATAGTCAACAAAATAAAAAACCGTTTAGTTGTTCTGCAATACCACTGACAGCTAATTCAAAAAAGTCCTAGTCTTTTTTAGCCTCAGTTCCCCTCAATTGTCTTAGACGGACACGGTGAATACTTGGAGGACATCACATACACCATACAACGAATTCAGTAGCGTCGCGGTCCATACATAATTCACTACAGCAAGATTTGGAACAGTTCTTTGTTTTAAAAATAATCGGAACTGTTCTTCTATAATAAGCTCATTTATTGTTTTCTATCACCTTATAATTCTTGTACTTGGTCCTTTTGCCAAGGCTTCTAATAAAAATTTATAATTAAAACTGAGATTGACAATTGCAAGGTGGGCATGGGCAACGAAAAATGGCGTTAATTTTTCAAACACTTTTTGACTAATCTATAAGGCATCATTTCCGGCACCCAGTCTTTAAAATTTTAATAAGCTTGTAACGCTACCAGTGGTTGTCATACAGAAATTGCTGTGGCACTATACTTTTCAGCAACAAAAACCTTATAGATATGAATTTTATTATCGTCTTTAGAATGACTAAAACCAAAGAATACGAGCAGATAATTTGAAGAAATGGTCGTTGATTGTAAAGAAATTCAGGAACGTCGTTGAAAGTTCATTTGCCTCAGTGTTAACCGCAATTCGTCATTCAGGCCACCTAGCTGAAAATGGTTCTGAAGACAGTTAAAAATGCAGCAAAGCTGTAATTACCCCTTAGTCAGAAATAAAGTTCTAGGCGAAACTATCCAACCCGCACCACCGGCTCAATTTACTATCATATATCATCCTATTGAAGATGAGTAGTGTACATCCGCCTGAATCCGACCACTGGCGTAACGAATTTCCTCTATAGCCTAGTTTGACCTAAGTAAGAGAATGTCACTAGCCTGTAACTGCAAACAGCAAAAGCACTCGAGAAGTTAGATTGTCTCGCAACAAACCTCAACAGAGTGCAAAAAATTTTACGAGTTGCTGTTACAGCTTAGACTAAATAGTTTCAAACTGATCGGATTTTACATAAAACTTCACATTGCCACGTCATTTAAGATCGTTACATTTACATAATTGTTTTATCCATACAAAAACATATTTTTCACGAAATACTGTAAATTACAGGTGGA